AGGAACCTTTTGAAAACTCGTTCTAAAATAAGTAATCCTAGAGTTAGAGTTACTTTGGAATCAATTCTGTGACACTAGTTTATAGACTTCATAACGTCTTCGCAGAACTAAACTGCATTTCAATTCGAAGCGAAATTTTCTGTTTCGAAACTTTGGTATTTATCATTTCGATTCGACGCTCCATATAACTAAAATAACAACATACAAAAGAGTAGCCACGATCTAAAAGCATTATAACGAAATGGAATTGTTTCTTTTTCTAACGATTTTTTAACAAATTGCAGAATAGAGGGAATAATAGAACGTGTACAGACTATAATCACATTTCCACAGAACTAGTTCCAAAATTGACAATTTCGAACGTTGGTGTGAACGTCAGAATATAAGGAGTAATCATGAGTTCGGAGTTAGTATAACAGAATCCATACAATCGAAAAGCATTGAAACGAAATGGAATTGTTTCTTCTTTTTCTAACGATTCAGTTTTTCAGTTGGAATACATGAAACATTATCAAAATGCAGTATAGGCGAAATAATAGATCGTGTTCAGACTATAATCACGTTTTCACAAAAATGGTTGCGAAATTGACAATTTCGAACATTGGCCTGAACGTCAAAATAGAACGAAATCGTGAGTTCTGGGAAAAGTTGTCAAATTGGCCAACAAATTTTTAACTTATAGTCCAAACTTTTAAAGAGGTTAAACCTCTCCGTTTCTTTTCTATGATTCTCAATAAACTATTTAAGCGTTTTCTTGGAAGCAATTCTTTGAAACTAGTGGGCGTGGCATCTCCGATATAAATAAAATCTTAAATTAGTATATCTGTAAAAATGTAACAGCTAGAGTCATGAAATGTTTGTGGAAATCCCTTTAGTAGCACCATGAATATTTATGACAAAAAATGGGCGATCTATAAATAGAGGGCGTGGCAACTCCCACATGAATTAAATACTAAAATTCGTGTATCAGGAAAAGTATGAAAGCTTGAATCTTGAAATTTTACACGAAGATCTTTAACATTCATTAAACATTTGGGGAGAAAGTTGATGGATTTTCATTAGGGGGAGGGGGGCTTGTAACCTCCCACATGAATTGAATTCTAAAATTAGTTTATCTGGAAAAGTATTATAGCTCAGAATCTTGAAATTTTACACGAAGAACTTTAACATTCATGTCAACATTTTTTGGAGGAGAAAGCTGGCGGACTTTCATTTGGGGGGGGGGGGGGGTTTGCTTGGTAACTCCAGTGTGAATTCAATACAAATATTCATATATCTAGAAACTATTAGAGCTAGAATACTCAAATTTTGCACAAACAACTTTGACATCCATTTGTTGTACCTCCCATATGAATTTAAATCAACAGTTCTTATATCTGGGAAACTATTAGAGATAGAATACTGAAATTTTGCACAACGAACTTTGGACATTCATGTGAACATTTAGGGGAAAATAGACGGACTGTCAAGAGGAAGCTTGGCACCTCCCATATGAATTAAATATAAAAAAATCGTATATCTGGAGCTGGAATGTTCAAATTTTACGTTGATTACATTAAATTAAGGTTTGGAAAAAATTGTAATGGTTGCCATGGTTTCTCCCAGTAAATACAACAAATCTTATAACTGGGATTTATATTATTTTTAGGGTCTTAGAGACGTTGTGAGACTGTTTGACTGGTTTAAGGTTGCGGACGAATTAGCTAGATTAGGTTCTATCTTTGCTATAGATGAAAGGGAAAGGATGACAAAACCATCCATTTGTCACTATTGTAGGTTGATATTCAAAAGAATCCGTGACATCATTAAGCAGTCCTTGATCACCAACACATGATATGGAGGTTACCAAAATACTTATAGGACTAGCTAAACTCAGTCTAAAGATTCTGATGGGAATGCTAAGGGGACATTGCTCAGTTAGGACCCTTGTTAGTAAGTGGAACATTAATATACCGGACCCTTGCAGGTTATGCAAAGATGAGCAGGAAGTAGAGAGAATAGATCGAACATATAATTTGCACACTGTCCTAGGAGATAAAATCTCAGCCTGAAATGGCTAGCGAATAGGTGCCATGACGAACTGGGGAAAATTGAAGGATTTAATTGTCGCAGTCTACTAAGTTTTTTCAAGAGAATTAGTCACTTCTTCGACTAGGCTTTATATCGTAAGAAAAAGAAGAAGCCATACCATTTTATTTCAATGCATTACGATTGCGTGCATTCTGCATTACGATCGTAGCTACGTTTTTTAAGTTGTTGGCCCCTATTCTGCATTTCAATTTGAATCGAAATTTTCTCCGTTTGGCAACTTTGGTATTCTGTATTTCGATTCGACTCTCCGCCACATAAACAACAAGAAAAACGTAGGCACGATCGTAACGCAGAATACACACATTCGTAAAGCATTGAAACGAAATGGAATTGCTTCTTCTTTTTCTTACGATTCAGTTTTTTGTTGCAGAATAGGGGTGGTTGTTTCAGTGACGAGGCTTCGAATCGAAATGATGAATAAAAAAGTTGCGAAACGGAGAAAATTTCGATTCGAATTGCAATGCAGAAAAGGGGCGAGTGTTTTTTTTTTCTGTCTTTGGATCTTCACTCATTGAAGGGTATCACAATGGACCGGATGGTGTATAACCCTACTTAACCTACACCTAAACCGAAATATATACACTTTCGATCAGTAGAGAACAAAACTAAAACTTACCTTAACGACAAGCCCCTGTTTTAACACATCTAGTTGTTAAGTATGTTGATTGTAGAGTCTTGATGTTGAGATCTTGAAAATTGTCGTTTAAAATAATTCACAAAAAGTATTTGAAATTACTTTTCAATTTTTTTGTTTTTTTACTTTATTTCTGTTTTTTCTTCTTTTTTTTCATGTTGAGCTTATATTAAAATATATATATTCGGTTATTTATTTTGTTTGTTTTTTTCTTCGTAATTTTAAAACTTTAATCATTTTCTTATTAAATTATTTTTATTTTTGTTTTTTTACTTTTAATATGCTTAACTAGAAAACTAATATTTTATACACAACGTTTGTTTGTTTTTTTCTTACTTTTCTTATTAAGTTTTATTTTCATATTTAGGTTTTTATGTGGTTTTTTTAAGTTTATTTTTGTTGGTAAGGATTTTCACCCGTTTTTTTTTTTTTTTTATTTTACTTGTATTTTTTTTGATAATATTTTACATGTTATATAACGTTATGTTTGTTTAAATAATAGTGCTTTTTAAAGCACCTATTTAGCTCTGTGGTGTTTGATAATTTCTGTGTAATTGTTGTTGTTGTTTTATTTAAGGGCTTTAAATGGAATTAATGTTTTAAGGGAGGATTTTCGAGATTTTAGCTTTCAGCGGGACAAGTTGGTGCAATAAATTTTATTGCTTTGGAAATTTTTGTTAAAGAAATTTTGTTTTTTATTGCCCCTGTTAAGTGATTTTCTTTACTTTTTAATTCTTGGGTTTTAGTTATATAAATATGTTTAACATTTCTTGTTTTATTTTTTTAATATTTTTTGTGATTTTTTGTAAAACTAAGTTTTGTTTTATTTTTTTCTTTAAATTGTTAAACTTATTAATGTGTAATTTTTAAATTTATATTTTTGTTTAGTACCTGTGTGTGTTCTTTTTAAAAGACATGTATATGTTAATGTGTGTTTTTTTTTTTACTTTTTTTAAAGAAACGTTGATTTTAAAATCTAAAAACGTTTCTAAAGTAAAAAAATTTTAAAACAAAAATTAGTTAAATTTAAAAATAATGTTTAAATTTAATATAAATGTTGTACAATGTTAGACACACTATATGTAGATATAAAAACAGGAATATAATTACAATAAAACAAATTGTTTCTTTTCTTTTTTTTTTCAAAATTTGTCTTAAATACTAAAACAAAATCAAACACAAAATGGAAAATAGCCAAATTAAAGTCTCTAGAGTTTGGAAAATCCGCCTTTAACTTTAAATAAAATAAAAATTCTTTTAGAAAAAACCTGCTTTTTGTTTAAAGTTTTGCTTAATAATATTATGCTTTATGGTGTTTTTTTTTTTTTATACAATTACTATCCTTAAGTAAAACGAAGAAACAATTCTAAAAACATATTTATTTTACACAGTTGGTTTTTTTGTTTTTATTAAATTTTTTACATAATTTTTGTAGCTTAAAAAAAGGTTGTAGTTTTTTAGATGCGACCAACACATCAGTTTATATGATTTTTTTTTCTTTTAATAAAAATTTTGTATTTTTCAAAAAAATATTTAGGGAAGCTGTTATTAGTTGTTAAAAAAAAGTAATGAAAATGTTTTTTTTAGCTCTATGTGGGGTTTTTTTTAAATAATTTGAAATTTTTTAAGAAAAAAAATTATGTAAAAATAATTTTTTTGTTTAATAAGTTTAATGCTTTAAAACCTAAAATTTACAAAAAAAATATTATATAAATAATATTCTAAACATAAAAATTAAATATTAAATTTTGTTTTTTTTTTATTTTCTCTAACTTGTTGACTTATAACTACATTTAAAAAATACAGTTAGCAATTTTGTAATTTGTTTTAAATTAAAATTCTAATGAAAATTTTGATTCATTATAGTTTTAATTAGGGAGTTTTAAGGGAATTTTACAAATTATAACAAAGTTTAGGAAATAAAAATAAAGGAAAAATATTCCAACGAAAACCTGAACCGGAAAAGAAGAAAAAGAAAAAAATCCACTTTGTTTCAATGCTTTACGATCGTAGCTAAGTTTTCTTTTGTTATCTTAATAACGAAGAGTCTAATCGAAGTATGTTAAACAGTTACCTTGGAATTAGTGATATATCCATTACTTCTGGAACCAGTTCTATGAAACATTTGTTGCGATTTTGAAGTATATTAAAGAGTTTTCAAAGAACTAGTTCTATGTCACATAATATATACGAAAAACTGCCTCCAAAGCATTACATCCAAAATTAATAATTTCGAACAATGGTCTCCATGTCCAAATAGAACGAGTACAGACTATAGCCACGAGTTCTAGGACTAGTTGTGGAAATGATGTTATAACCAGCCAGGATTCTTTTAAGAAAACATTCTATAACAACTAATTAGGGAATAAGTGTAAACGGAACCACATAAGATTCCTAATTGACAATCCGGAAACTAGAGTTTTCATCAAAACTTTTAGAACAAGTTTTCCAGATCTTTGTTATGATTCTAATAAACTTGTTTCTTAACAATAGCTTAATGGGTATCGACTCCAAAATTAACCATTTCGAACATTGGTCTCAACTCCCAAATAGAACGTTTTTACAGTCTACAACCTTGAGTTCTAGGACTAGTTGTGGAATTGATACTATTATTTCTGGAATATAAAGAATATCTTCATAATCCCTCAAGATCCGTTTAAGAATTCGTTCTTATATAACCAGTTCTAGTAAAAGAACAACTTTAGATTTTTATTAGGCTATCATTGAACTAGTGTTGTCATTATTTCCATCTAAAACTCGTAATCCGTAGCTTTGCTATGGTTCAAAGAAATCTCTAAAGAGTTTTCTAAGAACTAGTTCTTTGACACTTGCTTAACATAGCAATGTTTGCTAAAATTTCAAAATAACTTTTAAGTTTTAATATTGTTTAAAGAACTAGTTCTAGAATTATTTCTAAAGCTAGTTCTTATCATGACAATTTCTAATAGAAATCTTCTTTAAAGGAACTAGTTCTAAAAAAAAACTTAATTTTGCTTAAAGGACTAGTTCTAGAATTATTCCTAAAACTAGATTTGAGTGAAACAATTTCTGAAGAATATTTTTGATAAAGGAACTATAGTTCTAGATTTTATTCTATAGAAATTGTTTTTAAAGTTTCCAAAAAAAGTTTTAATTTTAATTTTTCTTAATGAAATAGTTCTTGTATCTTTACTAGAGCTAGTTCTGAGCGTGATAATTTCGAACGAATATCTTAGATAAAAGAACTAGTTCTAGAATATAATCTAAAGAAAAAGTTCTACAAAGTTGTCAAACAATTTCTTAATTTTAATTTTGCTTAAAGAACTAGTTCTTGTATCTTTACTAAAACTTTACTATAGCTAGTTCTGAGCGTGATCATTTCGAACGAATACCTTATATAAAGGAACTAGTTCAAGATTCTCTTCTATAGGGAAAGATCCGTAGTTTGTGAAAACAAAATTTTAGTGTTAATTTTGCTTAAAGAACTAGTTCTAGAATCTTTACTTTAACCTTACTAGAGCTAGTACTGAACGTAATAATCTCGAACGAATATTTTTGTTAAATGAACTAGTTCCGTAACCTATTCTACAGAAACAGTTCCTAAAGTTTTCAAGAATCTGTAGAAACTTTTCGGAAAGTTTTCAAAATAAAATTAGGTTTTTCTTAAAGAACTAGTTCTAGAATTGTTCGCTAAAATTATGTAAATTTGGTTCTGAGTGAGACAATTTCATACTAAAATCTTTAATAAATGAACTAGTTCTGGTATTAATATTTTTGTAAAGTTTTCAGTTTTCATTAGTCTTAAAGACGTAATTTTAGAACTGTTCCTGAAACTTACTTATAGCCAGTTCTTAGCATGGCAAATTCGAACTAAAAACTTTCATAAAAGAGTTCCAAAGGTGACTACTTCAAGCATAAAGTCAGTCTCAACAGGAAACTTGCATTCAACAAATTAATGCTAAAAACTCGCCCGTTTTTCTCAAAACTTGAAGAATTAGTTCTAGAATTGTATCGTAAAGTCACATATAATTAGTTCTTTAGGTTACAATTTCGAACAAAATTCGATTAACGTTCTATAAAACGTTGATAGGATAAAACTTCCGCCGAATCAGTTCCAAAGGTAACAAATTTCGTAACAGTTTCGAATGAAAACCTTTGCCAGAAGAGAACTCAGAATCGTTCTTTAAAACTTATATCGAACATATAAATACCTCCACAGAACCAGTTCCAAAAGTGACCACTTTTCGATCATTGAACTCCAAGGCAAACTAGCGTTATAATTATTTATAAACAATTCCATAACAATTGACTGATATATACAAAAAAATGTATAAATAATGATTTAAGAAAATATTACAAAACTAAAACAACTCCCACAACTAACATTTTTAAAGGCATAAAACAAATGAAGAATTTTTCCTCTCACTTAATACAAGGAAAAAAAAAGAGTAAATTTTCTTAAATTCCTTTTCTTCCCTCCCCCCACTATTAAAACCATAATGAATCCTTATAAATTTCCATTTATCTAGTGGTGTTTTACTCCTTTTTTTTCTGATGAAATCTTTTTTTCCATTGCAAATATTAATAATAATTAAAAAATAGTATTTATAACTATGCTATATACAAACTAATTGAAAAAATCATAAAATAATAATTAAAAAATATGAAAAAAAAAAACAAAATTTTAACCTAAATTTACAACTACTTTTCTTACAAAATATGTTTTTTTGTTTTTATGTAGAACAATTTAAAAAAGGAAATGGATGTAAAAACTAGAGAAAAATGGTTAAATTGGTTTTTCTTAAAAAAAAAAATGTGTCAATAATTGTTAAAAAAAATAATATTTTAAATAAAAATAAACAATAAAAAATAGAAACAAAAACAACAACAATAATGCTTATAAAACAATAAGCTTAAAGAGAATGTAAGAGAACAACAAAGAAATCAATACAACAAAAAGAAAGAAGAGAGAAATAAGGGAGCCTGAGCCAAATTACAACTTGGTACCTTGTTGTTGCCCTTTATAAACCTTTTTTTCCAGAAGATAATTTACTGTTGCGGAGTTTTTAAATGCGGCTGTGGTTAAAAGATATTAAAACTTTTTTCTCACTCTCTAAGTGTTAAGGGGGTCTCTGTGTCGGTGTGTTTCAAGTGTTTGCAATAGTCCTGGCTTTTCCTCCACTGTTCAGTTCTTGTTAGTTTATACTTCCTTCATCATCTTTCTTTCTTTTCTGCTTTTGCTTTAAAGGGGGATTTGACTCATTTCTCGCTCATTCAATATTTTGATTCTCTTGTGGTATGTTAATTTCATATTTAATAACTTGTGCTGTATTGGTACCTTGCAACACTTGCACGTGTACAGCTTGATTGCCAATCATTACTTCTCTGGTGGTCATTTGTTGTTGTTGTTGCTGCTGGTGCTGTTGTTGTTGATTTTGCTGCTGCTGATTTTGTTGCTGTTGTTGTTGGGCCAGTTGTTGTTGTGCCTGTTGTTGCACATGTTGCTGTTGTTGTTGCTGCTGCTGTTGTTGTTGTTGCTGCTGCTGCTGTTGTTGGTTGTTGCCATCCTGTTGAAGAATAAAATCAAGCTGCTTGTATTGTTGTAGTGAAACAAGTCTTATGCATAAATTATTAAATTCTTAAATAAAATGAGGGAAAGTTTTACTTTATTCAAAAACTAATGAAATAAGGATAAAGGAAAATGTATGAAAAAAAAAAACAACAAGAAATAAATGAAAATTAATGAGAAGTTAGATAACAAAAGGAGTAGTTAATGAAGGGAATTTAAGGTTGTGTGGTATATGTGCATAGAGAGAAAGGTGAGAGGAATTTATAATTTGGTATTTAATGTAAAAAAAATAAATTGTCATATTTTACAGAGAACAATCTCTTTTTAAACTTAGTCTAAAAAAAAAACTTCAAATATCTCAAAAACAAAAATTTCGAAATTCGAAACTATAATTTTATTAATTCCCCTAGTTTTGAGAACATTTTTGCAGATTTAAAACTTTTTCGAACATAAGTTCGAATTATCGAACATTTTTATTACTGAAGTTTGAATGCTCAAACATAACTTAAAAAGCTTAAATTCTGAAAAAATAATAAAAACATTTAAAATTTAGAAATTATTTCCAAAATTTTTAAGTTCGAATTTCGAAAATTTTTGAAAAAAGTTCTCAAACAAAACTAAAATTATATTTTTATGAATCGTCATGATTTAGAGATCATTTTAAGAGTATTAAAATTTTTTCGAACTTAATTTCGAATTTTCGAAAATTGAAAATTTTTCGAGTATCAATCTTAGAACATATTTTTAAAATTTAAATTAAGAAACTTTGTTGAAAAAACATAAAAATTTAGAAATTTATTTCTAAATTGTTAAGTTCGAAATTCGAAAATGTGAGAAATTCTTTTCAAACAAAACAAAAATTATAGTTTTATGAAACTTCATGAGTTAGAGATCATTTTAAGAGATTTAAAAAATTTTCGAACATAAGTTCGAATTTTCGAAAATCGTTATTATTGAACTTCGAATTTTCGAACATACTTTAAAAAGCTTACATTCTGAAACTACATTGAAAAAACTTTAAAATTTCTAGAAAAATTAGGAAATATTTTCAAAATTTTGAAGTTCGAATTTCGAAAATTTAAAAATATATTCTCAAAAGAAACTAAAATGACATTTTTATGAATCCTCATGATATAGAGATAATTTTAAGAGATTTAAAAATTTTTCGAACATAAGTTCGAATTTTCGAAAATTGATATTATTGAACTTCGAATTTTCGAACATACTTTAAAAAGCTTACATTCTGAAACTACATTGAAAAACTTTAAAATTCCTAAAAAATTAGGAAATATTTTCAAAATTTTGAAGTTCGAATTTCGAAAATTTAAAAATATATTCTCAAAAGAAACTAAAATGACATTTGTATGAGTCCTCATGATATAGAGATCATTTTAACAGATTTAAAAATTTTTCGAACATAAGTTCGAATTTTCGAAAATCGTTATTATTGAAGTTTGAATGCTAGAAAATATCTTAAAAAGCTTAAATAGTGAAATTACATTAAAAAAAACTTTAAAATTCCTAAAAATTTAGGAATTATTTTCAAAATTTTTAAGTTTGAATTTCGAAAATTTTAAAAAATATTCAAAAAAAAATAAAACTAAAATGATATTTTTATGAATCCACATGATTTAGACATCATTTTAACAGAGTTAAAAATGTTTCGAACTTAAGTTCGAATTTTCGAAAATTTTTATTTTTGAACTTTGTATTTTTGAACATTTCAAAAAAGCATATAACCTCAATTTACATTAGAAATATTTATAAATTTTGAAATTATTTTCAAAACTGTTAAGTTCAAAATACGAAAATGTAAGAAATTTGCCTCAAACAAAATTAAAATTAAATTTTCGAACATTCTTTGAAAAGCTTACATTCTGAAACTACATTAAAAAAAAAAACTTTAAAATTCCTAAAAAATCGAAATTAGAAAATTTAAAAAAATATTCTCAAATAAAATCTACATTTTCATCAGTTTGAAAACCAATTTAAAACGGACTAGAAATAGAAAGACTTAGTGTTTATTCAAAGAACTGTTTTGCAGGATGTGTATTCTGTTGTGTTTTTTCGGGGATATGATGAATAGAAATTAAAAAATAAATTTAAAACCCAACACCATGATCGTAATATAAAAAATAAACTGATTTTAAAACAACTACCATACAGATGATGAACAACTTAGAAAAAAAAAAAAAACAAAAGCGAAAATTTGTTTGAGAAAATTTATATAGAAGAAATTAAAATTTGAAAAAAAACTAACAAAAAATTTAGAGCCATAAAAATTTTGAAAAAAATAACAACAGAAGAAACTGAATTTGAACGTTAGAATATTGAAAAAAAAAAAATTATGTTTATAGAGAGAGACAAAATGGATTTAAATATCTCAACACTTACGTTGCACACAACTACAACCTTTTTTTTAAAGATTATTTCTCAATTGTTTTTAGAGAGTTTGATTTGAGAGAGTGATTGTGAGTGAGAGGTTCAACACACCTGTTGCTGCGAAATGGGTGGTTTCGTTTCCAAATGTTGACGCTGATGTAGCATTAAGTGATTCTTTTGGAAGAATGCTTTGCCACACTCGCACACATGAGTGCGTACCGTACAACCGCCGTTCGGATGACGACGATTGTGTTGCATGAGACCGTGTTTGGCGGCAAAACCTTTGCCGCAACTAGCACAGAAATGTGATTTGGGTTTGGTGGGTGTCTGTTGCGATTGCTGCGGTTGTTGCTGCTGCTGTTGTTGTTGCTGCTGTTGTTGTTGCTGCTGCTGTTGATGCTGCTGGTGAGCTGCACCATTCTGTAAATGTTGCTGCTGCTGCTGTTGTGGCTGTAAACCAACCGATGGCATGCCGGGAACAAGTGTCTGCGGATGAGTCGTAGCGGCGGCCTGCACCAGTGTTGTCTGTGAAACAACTTGACCCGTTGATGATATGATTTGAACTGGCATTTGGTTTTGGGCTATAATATTGGGATTGGCTGCCACAACTGTGGCGCCAGAACTCATACCGGTTGTGCTTAGTAAGTGTGTAGGCAAGGCGGCGGTTAAAGCACATAAATCGGTCATAAGACTTTTATCACCGGTATGTAAACGCAGGTGGAGAGCTAAAGCTTCGCGACTATTAAAGGCACTTCCGCATTCCCTGAGAAGAAGAAGAATAAGATATTATAGTATAAAGTTATGTGTTCAAATAAATGTTTTACTTACCGGCAACCAAATTGTGGTCTGGCCGTATTATTGGCATCATTGGCGGTGACCGTTAACAAGGCCGAATTGTTTGGATTGCTAACCACCGTTATAGTTTGTGGATGATTATTTTGAACTTGATGCCCTTGCTGCTGTTGCTGATGTGTAGAATGGGCTTGTGTTTGGTGTACTTGCTAAAAGTTGGAAGAAACGTTTATAGATTATCACAATATTTTAATTTTATCCAGTTTTGAACACTTACTTGTATTGTTTGTGTTGGCTGCTGCTGTGAAATTAAATTGTTGGACGGCACTGCGGCGGTATTTGAAGAATTCGGATTGACACCACCATGTGTGGTGCGTATATGTTGATTTAAATCCGGTCTTGTCATAAAACCTTCGCCGCAACTTATACAAGGATATGGTTGATCACCAGTATGTACACTGTAAGAAAAGTATCAGTAGATTAGAATTAGGGATGCCAAACGGGAATTCCCGATTCCCGAAAATCCCGGGATTTTCGGGATTTGAAAGTACCGAAAACCGGGATTTTAAAAATGAAATCCCGGGAAATTTCGGGATTTTAAAATCCCGAATTTTTAAGTATTTTTCCGCTATTTTATACATCATAAAGTACTAAATAAGAGAATTTTAAAAGTTTTTGGACTTAAGATGACTCTACTAACTTACAAGCTGAAATATCCAAAAAAAAAAAAAAAAGTAAGAGTCCTATATTCGGGTATGCCGAATATGCTTTTCTATAAACATCAGGGTGATATTACTCATCAAATTTACTGATAGGATCTTATATGAGAGGTAGGGTGAATCATTGACCGTTTTTATACAATTTTTCATAATTTTTTTAGACCAATTTTGGTTCATACACTTTCCGGTAGGAAGATATACGTTCCTATAAAAGTTTCTTAGCTTTTGGCGACTAAGAAATTTACTTAACTCAAATTTCATCTCTACACTCGTACTTGTAAGCCAGTAATGAGCGTTAAAGTATTTATCTGGATGGGACCTTATGTAGGGGTACGGTCAATTATGGACCGAAACACATAAAACTTGGTAGAGAGATTTTGACTCGCATGAAACATATGTGTATCGAATTTCATCGCTATACTTTTTTAAGCCAGTAATGAGCGTTAAAGTCATTTTTTTAACGGGACCTTATATGGGGGTAGGGTCAATTATGAACCGACCCACATAAAATTTGGTAGAGAGGTTTTGGCTCGTCAGGGATTTACTAATATCAAATTTCATTGCTATACTAAATAGGCATAGATACTATCGGATATATAAAAATAACAAGTACGAAATTATAGGCGGGCGAGGCCGACCATATAACCCCATACACCAGTTATGAGAGTAAAATGTAATTTAGTTTTCATAATAAATGTATACCTCGCCTCCGATATATTCTAGCACTTTATTGTTAAAAAACTATTTTTCTGAAATATGCTTGGGGGAAGGACGCCATCATATGAGTCGATCCTCATAAAATTTGGAGGGCGAATTTACGATTACATAAAATGTTTTATGCTGAATTTCATTGCGACAGTTCTCTTTTTAAGCGAATTGTAGATACTAATTCTTTTTTAAAGCTGTGTTTTGTATGGGGGCTCGGATCAAAAGCCCGATCATTTCAAATTTCATCAGCGTATTTTAGGACAGTATAAAACAAAAGCACTACTCCGGAGAGACCCAATATACCATCCCTACTAAGGGTATAAAAAGCGCAATAAATAGGCATTGATACTATCGGATATCTATAATGGAAGTCAACCTGTCAATAAGATGGCGAGAAGATAATTCCCTTGGTTAGTGAACACGGAATATAAGGTGGAGGAGATATAGGTGCAGTACAGGTGCTCTATGTAGCCTCGTATGGATCCCCATTACACATACTATTTAAATATTATTTGAAAACCATTGTAAATTTGGATATCATGGGTATTATTTTAGGTTTTTATTCTACTATTCAGTGCCTGGGATGGAAAGATTTTTATTCTAAGTATGTACTTTGAATTAATTTGTTTTTCTTTTCACAAAATGCTTATTGGAAAGTAAACACCTACTAAGAGTATTCATATTGCAATATGAAATAAAACATTTTATTTTTGTCGGTAAATTATTAAGATTTTTTGAATTTTTTTTATATTTTTCGGGATTTACAAATCCCGAAAATCCCGGGATCCCGATATCGGGATTCCGGGATTTATTTAAAAATCCCGAATCCCGGGATTTCTAAAAACCAGTCCCGATTGGCATCCCTAATTAGAATAGATTTAAATAGTTTTCGAATATTTTAAAATTTTTTAAAAAAAGAAACTCACCGCATATGTGCCACTAATGTCCTTTTCTGTAAAAATTCTTTACCGCACACTGTACAGGCATGCGGTACTTTGCCGTGAATACGAGCATGATTGACCAATTGAAATTTACGCGGAAATGTAACACCACAATCCTGACAAACGAATGGATTAACAGAACCATGAAAACTACAAATAAAATTATCAAATTAAAGAAAATTCCTTCAAAAGGGTAAAAAAACCACAAATTACCGTGAATGCATAATGAGATGATTTTCTTGGGCAAAACTTTCGCCACACTCGTCACAAACAAACGGTCGTTCGCCAGCATGATATTTACTATGTGTCACTAAGTGACGTTTCAGCGGGAATGTACGGCCACATTCCTGACAAATAAAGGGTCGATCACGTGAATGTACCCTAGAATGGGTCAACAAATGATGTTTAAGAGTAAAACTCTTTTTGCACTCGGTGCACTGATAAGGGCGATCGGTGGAGTGTAGAAGCAAGTGGGTATTTAGACAGTGTTTGTGGGCGAAACTTTTACCGCAATGTGTACAGATATGGGGCCGTTCCCCTGCAATAAAACAAACAGAAAAACAAAATACATTAGTAATAAAATTTAATTAAATATAATTTTGCAATAACAAATGCAATTTGTTTGTTTAAACTAAATCACCTGTATGTACTCTAGCATGAGTAGTTAAATGATGTTTTAACAAAAATGATTTGCCACACTCGTCGCAACTGTAAGGGCGTTCTTTTTTAATGGTGGCATCGGCCTGGAAATAAAAAAAAAGGATTAAGATTAAGTTATGTTAGGTTTTAACAAAATAATAATAAAAGAAAGAATAAATAATAATAAAATCTCCTCTTACATCTGTAAAATGCATGGTCTCTTGTAATTCTGCTTTCGGTGAGAGTTCCAATGTTCCAGGTTCTAATTTTAAATTAGGCGCATTACCTTGTGAATCATCATTGTCTTCTAGACCTTGTATAACTTTTTGTACTTGCACTGAGATGCCAGGCAATATGTCACCTAACATTGCATGACCAATAGTTGAGAAATAGAAAGGTTTAAGGGTGGGGGAGGCGGTTAGGAAGTATCAAAAAAGAAAAGAGAAATTACAGCAAAAATTAACTTTCATATATCAGGGAAGAGGGTTTTCATTTTTTTCGACAGATATTACAAAAATAATCATATAGGCCTTACTTGTAGTTGTATTATGACCATCATTTGATGTTATAGTTTGTGGGTGTGTGGCGGCCAAAGCACGTTTCATTAATATTTCATTACATTCCTCGGCCGTCAAGTGTATCGGGCCAATCGGACTAAAATGTGCTTTATTAGCAGCTGCAGCTGTCGTTAATATGGTTTGTGTTTTTGAATCTACAATACCGTTCGTTAAATGAGACTGATCTGTTTGATCGACAAGTAGATCTAGAAAAGTTAAGAGAATTTAATATTCACACGAATAGAGAGAAAAAGTATATTTCATCTTCTCCAAACAAACAACTTACAATTTTTGTCACAATTTAAGTTTAAAACTTGTTGTTGTTGCTCTGGTTTCTTAACAACTGAGGAGGCGGCGGCAGCACCAGTGATTACTCTAATTAAGGAAATTTAAGAATAGAAAAAAAAAAACAAACATATTAAAGGCCTCTGTATAAAACAAAAACATACTTGTATAAAGTATGAACAAGAAAAGTAATGCTCACCTTTGAGCTCCTGTTGCAAATGGGTCATTGACCAATACCATACGCCGTACAACACTTTTATTGCCAGCTAATCCTCCTTTAACATCTTTTTGCACTGTTAATGATCCATCAGTGGATAACAAATATGGCATCTGAAAATTATAATGCTATTATAATCATAGAAGATGAATTTCAACATTTAGAATTAGTATGATGAATAAACAAATAGATTTCAAATTTAAATTTATTTTTATTGTTTTTTTTTAATGATGTTTTTAAATGAATTTTTTCTATAGTTTTTTTTCTTTACTTAAGATTTGGATTTGTTCTTATTAATAGCTGTGTTGATTAGATTTTTGTTTAAATGATTATTTAAAATCATTATGACCGTGCTCAAAGGCTAAAGGAGTTGGGAATAGTTGTTTTTGAATACCCTTTAAAGCAAATGTTTTCTACTTAATTATGTTATAATTTCTCTTAATAGTTTACTATTGAAACATGCAGGAAGATGCTACTAACATGCGGGCAACATTTATGTATGTATTTATTTCCCGCCAAAACTATTTATCCCTGAAATTTTGAAAAACCACAACTTCTTTAAACAAATATTCTTCTTAATACCAAAATTAAAAGCAATAATCTTAAAAATTGTTTGAACAACAAACAAGGTCTTTAAGTAATTAAGTAATTAATAATAACTAGAGTATAAGGTTTTTGAAAACTAAATTGGAACATTGGAACTCTTTGAATGAATTGCATTTTTTTGTATTTCTGTTTAAAATCTATTTTGCTATAATAAACAACTTTTTGTTTATTTGGTTTCATATTTTTTGCTTTACATAAAGTTTTCCCCTGTCATTTGTTTATGAATAAATATCAGTTTAATATTTGTTTAATAATATTCCTAAAAGCTAATAAAATCTTTTATAAAATTGTGTATAAATTAAGTTTGTATATATAATTTTTTTAAATTTAAATAATTAAACTTTAAATTATGCAAAAATCAATAATCATTTATACTAAAAATAAAAATATACAAATCATTGTGGAAAATTTGTTAAATAAACTAACAAATAAAACCTTATGTAAAAAAGAAGAAAAGAAGCTTAAAAATACATTTCGAAATGGAAATTTTTAGTGTTGAGTTCGAAATTTCGAAAATAAGTTTGAAAATGTGTATTCCTTTTATGTAAAGTTTGCAAATACGACAGTAAATGGCCTGTCTTATCCAAATGTTCTTACTAGGGTGACTACATATTTACTAAAATAAATATTTTACAATTACTCTAGCTTACAAAAAACTCGCTCTATTGACTAGTCAGTTAACTAGTCCATTGACTAGCCACTTAACTTCTCCATTGACTTGTCAGTTAACTACTTTATGGACTACTCTATGGACTAGTCAGTTAACTAGTCTATGACTTGTCAGATAACTAGTCCATTGACTAGTAAGTTAACTCTTTTATGGACTAATCAGTTAACTGGTCTATGGATTAGTTAGTTAACTAGTCTATGGACTATTCAGTTAACTAGTCTATTGACTAGTCTATATAATAGTCTACTTATTAGTATATTGACTGATCTATGGACTGGTGGCCAGTATTGACTAGTCTATTGAATAGTGTATGGACTGGTCTATTGAATAGTCTATGGACAAGTCTATTGACTATTCTATGAGCTGTCTATGAACGAGTCTATGGTTTAGTATGTGGACTAGTCTGTGGTCTATTGACTAGTCTATTTACTAGTCTATGGGTTGGTCTTTAGAATAGTCTATTGACTACTCTTTAGAATAGTCTATTAACTAGTCTATAGAATATTCTATTGACTAGTCTATAGAATAGTCTATTGACTAGTATATAGAATAGTCTATTGACTAGTCCATGGATTAAATATATGGGCTAGTCTATGAACTAGTCTATGGATTAAATATATGGGCTAGTCTATGAACCAGTCTATGGATAAGTCTATTAGTTTAAACTATTAAGGATATATACCTGTTAATCTGATCAGACAGATACCAATTATTCTGTCGAAGCAGATAACATTGACATATTCGTAGATAGATCTCAATAAGTAGGCCATCAGCTTATACGTAGACAGTTTTGTATTTCTCAAGGCTCTTACCTCAAACGTGTTAAGGTTAAAAAATATTCTCAATTGCATTACCGCCTGTCAAACTTAGACGACACTCAGTCGAAGTGATTTGGTTCCTAGCGGACAATAGCATTTGAGCAAATCAAATTGCTAACGAATGCACAATAAACGAATTGTTCGCAAAACAGTCTACTTACTTCTCTAATTATAGTATCAATCGCCATCAAGGAATAGGCGACTAAAAAGGAACTCAAGTATTCCACTTGCAGAATATTTAAAATACTCTAGTGCTATCTTGCACAAAATAGAACCTTAACTCTCTTGACATCTTGATAGTAACTTGGTAAGGCTTCTTATAAGCATACTAACTGCAGCCTGATTGATTGGATGCATATAACATCGTTTGACCTACCCAAGTAAGAGTTATTACATAAAAGTCTAATAAGGTAATCTAATTGGGTACTATTCCTGCCTACAATTACTATAAAATATCAATCCAGGATAAGTAGTAGGTTTAATTATTTTTAAATATTATAATTTATAAGTTTTCAAAAATTTTTTCTTATTTTATCTATAATCATGTACTAGAGCTGAACTGCAAAACAAGAAAATGTATACCTAGAGATGTGGGTGGTTACTAACATTTTAATTAACACTAATTAGTGAAAAAAGTAGCAAAGTTATGCAGTCAAATTAAAAATAATAAGAAAAACCATTAATGCCGATAAACGTTAAATATTTTATAAAATTGCAATTAAACAATTTACCAAATGTGTACCTAATTGTCACATATTGTAAACAAATTAGCAATGTAATGTTTACAATATGACAATTGGTTTTATCATTCCATTATATTAAACAATTTATCAACAAAAAGCATAAATAGAAAAACAAGAAAAAAAAGAGGAAAACAAGAAAAATAACAAAAATATTGCATCAACAATACAATACAAAACATAGTTTCAGAGTATTAAGACAATTCTTCTTCTTGTTCGTGTTCATATACATAATATGTGTTTTTATATACATATATAGACAGATGTATGTATATAAATTTTAAAAACAACTCCCTCTACCCCACAAATTCCCTTTTAAACAAATACTAATAGCACTAGTTAACAAACATACATAATCATTCTCATACATCATCACGCGCGCGCTTTCTTCAAAACCTACATACAAACGTACAAAATCGACAAACATTCATACATACAAACGAATTGTGTTCGTGTTGTCGTTGCTGTTGATTTTTTTTCTTGTTTAACTTTACTCAGAGTGAACACACAGCACAGCAAAGCAAAAGCAAGCAACACACAATCAACCATCCATCCAACCAAACAACAAAACGACCACGACTAACGAAGAAGAGAACTACCACGACTATCACAAGTACAGTCTTATAATTTTATTATTTCTTATTATTTTTTTTATTTTATTTTTGTGTTGTTGCTGTTGTTTTTATTGTGGTGCTACCTTTATTATTTTGTTTTGTATTGTGGGCACAAACTACTCTTTTTGGAGCTACAGAACAAACGAACACACAAGAACATACAACACAGACAGCAGAACAAATCCCATAAAATAGAAAAAAAAAACAATAAATAAATAAATAGAAAAAAACCAAAAAATTCAAATAAAAACATATTGTATGCAATTGGAAGATGAAGTAGAAAAATGTTTCTATTACTTACAGATTCACTGCTAACAGTGTAGTTTATATTGGGCGATATTTCCAGTACGGACTCGGGACCTCGAGTGTTATCAGCAAAACCCCAGGCATAAGGACCAAAACTTTGTGTTGGATTACTTTGAGCAGCACACATCCTCAAGGCCTTTTATTTATTTTAAAAAAATATATTACACACACGCACGTATACGAACGTATGAATGAAAAATAAAAAAAAATAATGAAACTGAAATGAACGAACTTAAAAAAACAACGGCCACAGTAATTTTGCTTTTCAACTTTTATTTTGCTTTACAATTTTTCTCTGAACTTTTACACAATATTCTTTTATTGAATAAGATTTTCACAATTTAGTCGATTGTGTTTTTAGCATGTTTTTTTCGTGGAAATATTTACAATTAATGTAAAATTCTTTATGCAAAAACGATTTTATACAATATAAAAAAAAAAAGAAAGTCAAGACGTCGCGGGCGCCATTTTTATTTTTTCTTTAGCGTAACTTTTTTCACTTTTTTTCAATAGGTTTTTTATTTGCTTTTTAGATATTTCACTTTTTGTTTTAGGCATTTGCACGGAAATTGTTTGATATATATATTTATTTGGTATTATTTGTTTGTGTTTTTAGATTTATTGTTGTAATTGGGTTAAAATATCCACCAATATATAGAATATGAATATAAAAAATCAACACAATTGAAAAAATTCCTCAATTCCATCACTCTACTGACGTCGCCATTTTAGTTTTTGTATTTCACACAAAGAGTTGTGTCAACGCACACGAAAGCAAAATGTGAGATTGTGTTGAATACCAGTGTTGTCACGTTGCCAAGGCGTTTAATACTACTATCAAAATACAACTCTACATAAGAGTTGCCATTTTTATATTTCTTCAAATATTATTTTTAATGAAATAAATTAGTTTTTTTTTTAATATTTATTAAAATTAAAATTTAAAAATTAAACAATGTGTTGAGTTATTTTTAAACAAAATCTGATTAATTTATAAACACAAATTATTAAAAGTATCTTCTTCATCTTGGCATTCACAGATAAATGTTAGCAGTATGACTTGTGTTCATAGAAAATATGAAAACCATGGTAACTCTAAATGTGAGAAATAGAAAATGATATTGAATTTTATTTTTGTACATTTTCGTTGTACAATTTTAAGTGTTGACAACTCATAGAAGAACAAAAGCACCACGGCATTCTTTCATAATGAGAGCATATGTATTTGTTTAGTTCCAAAACCTAAAGGGGAACAAAAACAAATAAGTCCATCGGATTAGTCAGGGTGTACTGAACACAAGGTGACATCCTTAGCCTATCTGATCATTGTATACAATTTTTTATACATAGCCTTGTATACATGCTTAAACCGAACGTTTGTCAAACTCCTTATAAAAAAATTTGACAATTGTGCGTTCGCTCTCACCTTGTACCTTGGTATTTTGTTAAGTATACCATGCCTCCAGATTTATGGTAATTTCATTTGCCTACCCAGTCAAATTAATATTCATTATCTGCGAAAAAGTACTCATGTTTGCTACACTTTAAGTGCAACTCTGTCAAGGTGAGTTTTATGTGGGAAATACAACACTGTTTAGTACTAGGTAGAAACACAACACTGTTCAATAATAAATTAGTACAGAAATTTAAATTCTATTTTATAATTAGAAAATTATAAATTATTTATGAATTTTTTTAGTAGAAACAAAAAGTCAGTAAATCGCAATTTATGAAAAGTCGATTTTTGACATTGTACAATTTATGAAAACAAAATGCTGTTTTTTTCAATTATTCAAAATTTAATTTATAGATTTTTACGATTATTCGTCTTTTTTTTCTTGCAAGAAGTTGACTTTTCGTTTTTTTGGACAAATAAGTCGACTTTGAAAAAAAATCGATATATTTTATTGAAAAATTGATTTTCAGTTAATCTTGTCTTTTCAACTTTTTCCGACTTTTAATTAAAAAATCGGATTGCTGTTTTTCGTACAAGTCTATAAACTTCGACTTTTTTCGATAAAATGTCTATTGACCAATTGTTCGAAAGTTTTAATTACTTGAACCATACTCTATAGTTGAAACAAAAAGTCGACAACAATTTGCCAATAAATAACTATTAGTCGATTTTTTCATTTTAAGAACTTTAATCAAAATAAGTTTTATAGATATATATTATTTACATACAATTTGTATTGAAGCACGGATATATAAAAAACAAACAAAACTTTCATCTTTTCCCCTCTTCAACAAACTCATAAAAGTTACGTATGAACTGCAACTTATTTGTTTACACTAGTTTATTAGTTATCGATTACTTTGCTTTACAGTTATCGCCCTAGTACCACCTTGTTTGTCTCTAGTCTGTCTCAGCTGTCAAAGTTGTTATAATATTCACAGTGATAAAAGCTGAAAAATATGAAATAAAATTGTTACAAAAAAATATTTATTAATTGTTAACATTATTTGTTAGTTAAATTAACTTTAAAAATGCAGTATTAAAAGTGAGTTAAATATATTAACAGAAAACTAAATAATTATTATTTTAAATAAATAAAATTCTTAAAATATCTCATAAGTGTTACAAAAAAAATCTATTAAATGATGACATATTTGCAAAAAAAAAAAAAAGAAAAAAGGGTCAACCATTTAGTGGGTTGAGCTATAAAATTAAACTTCCTCCTCCTTCACCCATCAACATTTGTCATACATTTGTGTGTGCTGAATTTTTGTTGTAGTAGTTGTTGTTGTAATGTTTGTCTATTTACACATCCAAACAAACAGAGGTAATTTGTATGATGGCATAGTTTTGTTTTTGTTTTCTTGTTTTTTATCACTCTCTAAGAGTATGTTACTAGTTGTGATGTATTAAAATTTACTCTTTTAGAATTGAGTTAAAGAAAATAAAAGTGGGTGCAAAAAAGCTTAATTTGAATATTTTAAAATTTTGTAATTTGTAAATAAGTTTAAGTTTTGTATAAATAAAACAGCATTTCAGAACAATTTAGTGAATTCAGATTTAACTGTAGTTGTAAAATTTTTGCATAAATTTAATTTTTGCTGATTAGTATTCTATAGACAGAACAAAAAGTCGACTTTTTAAATTATTTGTAATATTTTTAACGTTTTTTTTTTCATTTTTTTCGAATTTTCGACTATTTTTGACTTTTTTCTACTATTTAAAAGTTTTCGACTTTTTGACTTTTTTCCGACTTTTCGACTTTTTTCATAGACGATAGTCGAGTTATCGACTTTTTTGGAATAAAATAGTCGACTTCGACTTTTTTCGACAAAAAGTCGATTGTTCGATTATTCGAAAGTCGATTTATAGAACCCTACTATACAACTAGGGTTCTATAGATGAAACGAAAAGTCGACTTTTCGACTTTTTTCATTTAGTTAAAAGTCGACTTTTCGACTTTTTGCATTTTATGAAAATTCGATTTTTCTACTTTTTATACCCTACACCACTTTAGTGGGGAGGGTATATTGGATTTGTGCTGATGTTTGTAACATACAAAAATATTCGTCCTAGACCCACCTTAAAATATACCAATCGGCTTAGAATCGTTTTCTGAGTCGATTAAGCTATGTCCGTCCGTCCGTCCGTCTGGCTGGCTGGCTGGCTGTCCATGTAAACCTTGTGCGCAAGGTACAGGTCGCAATTTTCAAGATAATTGGATGAAATTTGGCACGCACGTTTTATTTGACCTAAGGACGAAGCCTATTGAAAATGGTTAAGATCGGTCCATTATTTCACCTAGCCCCCATAGAACAGAACCCCCCGAAAAGGGCTTCTGAGCTCATAATTATGTTAAATATACAGATATATCGATAAAATACGGCACAACTAAGTTTTATAGAAGTCTTGATGACCCTGCCAAATTTCATAAAGATCGGGCCACATTTGACCCTAGCTCCCATACAAAGTCCCCTTCAGAAAATTACTTGAATGTCCCAAATTAGCTTATAAACACAAATATCGCGATGAAATTCAGCACAATAAAATATTATGTCAATATAAATATATTCACAAAATTTTATCGGGCTTGGTCCATATTTGCCCCTAGCCCCCATATAAAGCCTCTTTCAGAAAATTAGTTTTTCATCCATAAATTGCTTAAATGTATCGGAACAAGGGAATATTGAAGATAAATGCTTTATTATGAAAAATAAATCACATTTAATATTCATAACTGGTGTAGGGTATCAAGAGAAGAAGAAGATAAATGCTTTATTATGAAAAATAAATCACATTTAATATTCATAACTGGTGTAGGGTATCATATGGTCGGCCACGCCCGACTATAATTTCTTACTTGTTTCATTTAATTAAAAGTCTACTTTTAGACTTTTCGACTATAAGTATTTTATAAATAGTCGACTTTTCGACTTTTTCCGACTTTTTCCTACTTCTTTCGAATTTTTTTCGAAAATTTTTTGACTTTTTTCGAGTTTTTCCGACTATTTTAGAGTTTTTGACTTTTTTCCACTTTTTTAAAATTTCCGACTATTTTTGACTTTTTTCTACAATTTTCGAGTTTTCGACTTTTTACGACTTTCGACTTTTTTCGACTTATCGACTTTCTTCGACTTATATTTCCGACTTTCAGACTTTTCGACTTTTATTAACAAAGTCGACTTTTTTCACAGACGATAGTCGAGTTATCGACTTTTTTGGAACAAAATAGTCGACTTCGACTTTTCGACTTTTTTCGACAAAAAGTCGATTGTTCGATTATTCGAAAGTCGATTTATAGAACCCTATATAGAACCCTATATAGAACCCTTGTTTTAACTTGATCGTATTGATAACGACAAATTTGAATTAAAAAAGTTGGAAAGTCGACTTTTCAGATAAAAAATCAAAAATTAACCACTTAAAAATTCAAAAAAGTCGATAAACGACTTTTCATAATTAGCAATAATTCAAATAGTCGTCTTTTTGTTTCAATTATTGAACCCTTGTCCCATCTTGAACGGCAATTTTTAATTCAAAGAGTTCGAAAATCATGTTTTTATAAATTGAAAAAAATTCGAAGATTCGGCTTTGAATTTCTTATGATTTTTAACTTTTTTTCAATTTCTACCGACATTTTCCAACATTTATTTATAAAATCGTTTATTCGAACTTTAGGATCGATATCGGCTTCCACTTTTTCTACACAAAGTGAAATTTTGCTTAAAATCTAGTTAAGAAGTTTTAGAATAAATATAATCTGAATGAAATCTGAAAATAATCAACGTCAAAATCTTCCTTTTAAGAACAACTTAAAAAATCTAGTAATCATATTTTAATAACTTCCTATTTTGAATATTCCTAAACCTAAAACTGATCTTAATGATCTCTAGTGATTATGATGATGAATAGTCTTACCCGCCCTAGAGCCGTTTGATGAGTTACAAGTGTTTTGTAGTATTCTTTTTTTCTTCTTTAATCTATTTAACTCTCCGTCGTCTTTGATTGTTTGGATTTCTCAATATATTGATGTACATATACGATTTCATATTGCGCTCTTTCATTATTATCGCTACAATGGGTTTCAAATGTTTCAATTTTGTTTCTTTTTTTTTTGCACTACATCGTGTTGTTTTTTTTTTTTTTGTTTCTATTTAGTTAAATTTATTTCGTGGGCTTGTAAGTTGGTCGACTCGCTCACTAGGTAAGTAGTTGACTATACAACAGCAACAACAACAACAAAACGACAAATTGGAATCAATGAACGTACGAACGAAACGAGCCAGTCAACCAGCCAGCCAGCGAGCGCATAAACGAAATACACAACAACAACTACGAAAGACAGACAGCAACACAGGCGGACAGACAGACTCTTGTTTGGTTGGTTTAGATCACTTGAGATTTTTGGCCTAAATCTGTAGGCCTTGAGAAAAACGTAGTACATATAAAAAAAAAAAAAAATTAAGCAAAATAAAAACTACAACAACAACAAAACACAATCAACATTTTGAGGGAAATACTTGCAGCTTAAGCTACGTTGACTGAAGCGCATCAGACGAAACAACGAAGCTTTGGTAGCAAGCAACAACACCAGCAGCATCATTAAACAATTTATGCTTGTGAGGTGAGGTACGAATAAATATCGGACAAAGTACTTATAGATACATATTTAGATACTTAGTATTGTTAGTTTGTGAGTTTTTATGCAAGTGTTATTTAAACATGTGTAGTAGGGTTGCATATTCCCCCAAAAAGGGGCGAGAAAGGTTTTTTGCTAGGTAAGGATGACACCTTGTATACTACATCAAATCTGAAGAAATACACCTGACATTTATGTACATGGAAAATTTGGTCCTCATGATGTAACCTCTGAAAGAAGGATGAGGTTCATAAACTCAGTTTCTAGGACGTAGTTTCTTAGAATTTTCCAATAATTGATACTAAAGGATGTTATAATATCGCTTCCAAGATGACCGAGAAGATTAGATTGAGAAGAGGAGGTATATAACATCAAATTGGGCCTGTTGTGTGCTTCTTTTCATGAAAAATATTGGCGGAAAATCCTTATATAGCGATCTATATACGAAATTATAGTTCAATGTTCATAAATTTGGGTTTATGATCGTATTTGCACCAAGTTTCAATTGTTCTTGAAGGATGTTAAATCAGGTATTTAATCGCTTTCAAGAAATTTGGATCTTAATTCGAGTAAGATTTGGCAATGACAGTGAAAGTGTCCTCTCTGCATGCTCTACATTCGTCTTGGTTTTCTGATCGTATTTGCTACAATTTCCAATTGTTCTTGAAGGATGTAAAATCAGGTTTAAGTTCGCTTCCAAGAAGTTTGGTTCTAAATTAGTAGAATATTTGGTAATGACAGTGAAAGTGTTCCAGCGATTTACTGATCTCTCCGTATGCTCTACATTCTTCAGTATTTTATCGCTCAATGCCCTTAATCCTGTTCGTCTAAAAGGCTTCTTCTTAAACCTGTTTGCATCAGCCCACACGATTTTTTTGGTCTTACTCACCGTTCCGCTACTCAAAGTCGAAGTGTGCGAACGGGATAACATCCTCACGTTTCCGTCGATCCTTCTCGAGTGGCTGGGGTTTCCATATCTTACAAATTTTACCACTGAAATAGTAATTTTGTGATCCTTCATACACAGGTTAATTGCCTCAAGATTCGTTATGTTTATAGAAAGTACATTCGCTCTTTCATTGCCCGAGAGGCCTGGTTCCTTTCTGCCTGTCGGAAAATACGTTAAACCCTGTTGGATCCATGTCTTATACAATTCATTTTATACATTCCAAGTTAGCATGGACTTCTGTCAGTTATTTGGGGAAAGCTAAAGAGTTTTTCGTTCATATATAAATGAAATCAATTTTCCAAGATTCCGAAATATCTTGGAATTGCAGTTTTTAGATGACAAATATCGGGATTTAAGAAAATTCAAACTTTTTGGCATTCCACATTGGGACAGAATCCATTTTTTTGTTAGACATATGTTTGGCATTTCGTCAGCTTCGATCGAGATAGTGACATGGGTATATCCAAAAAGCATTCAAGTTTAAAGTTGGACCCGCGCTGCAAGCGCTCCATGAGCGCCATTATGTGGGCTGAAAGTAGGCTAGCTTCGACTTGTTTTTTGCTTTCCATTCGATTTCAAAGATTTTTATATTTTCTGGAAGGGCTCTACTATATCCCGGAAAACACATACATAATCTGACCCGCTGGGTATTCTTAATGTATTTCGGTATTTCTGGAACTAAAATAGCATTATAGTTTTAAAATTTCTTAATCCCATCCTTATAGTATTCAAAGGTTTTACATTCAGAGTTTATGGATCATTTCTGGTTCATAAATAGAGGATAAAACTACAAAATACTGAATCCAGGAATTTCAAAAAACCAATCCCAATTGGCTTCATCAATGCGTAGTACTAGTAGGTCTGACAATCGTGTTGGAACACCTGATGGTGTTGGTTTAATGGTTCATATAGATTTATGAAGGCTAAAACCCTATTGTAGTCTATAAAATACCGAATCCCGGTATTTAAGAAATCCCCACTATATTGGAACCCCTCCGAAAATTCAATTACAATTGTTCATCCTAATGTTTAGTACTCATAGGCCTGCCATTCATGTTTTATGGGCTTTTCTGACTTTCTGGTTCACAAATATTTATGGAGGGTAAAATCAAGCAAACCAACAACAACAACTACAACAACAGCAGCAATAATTCCATAGTAAATTGCTGTGTGAGAATATTGTTGTTGTTGCTGTTAGATTGTTATAGTTATGTTGCTGATACTACTATGCTGCCAATGTTGGAGTCTGCTGCTGCTGCTGGTGATTTTATTTGGCGCTCGTGTATGTGTCAATGTGTGGTTTCTAACCCACCAAACAACAACGTATTCGTAGTCGTCGTCGTCATCATCATCATCATCGTCGTAGTTGTTGTCGTAGTCATAGTCGTCGTCGTGGTGTACCCTAAAAAAATATATTAGAGATTTTATTTGCTTCAACACCATTGACAATCAGTGTGTTTTTGTTTTGCGACCATTGCGGATGCGGAATTTGGTGTTTAACTCTTTTTTTTTACATATTCCTCTGCTTTGTTTTCGTAACGTTTTAAAATTCTACGTTTGTGTGTGTGTGTTTTTTTCTTCTTAAAAATTTATTTTGTTTTTGTAACTAGTGAGTTGTATTTGCGTTACAAAATAAAACCAACAACAATTGAAAAATTCTCGTGCGTTTGTAACTGATTTTCGTACGCTGGTACTTTTAGTGCGTTCGTAGGCCTGCTAAACAACGCGTCTTGTAGCGCTTTTTTTTCGTACTTTGTTCATTTAGACTTTAATAATTGTCATCTTTAACAATACCGCCTTAGGAAATTAATGTGTAAAAATAAAACTACAAAAAGAAAATTTAAGAAAAAATATAGAAAATTAAAAAAAGTACCAATTTAAACGTCCAAGTTTTACAAAGAAAATAAACGTGTCGTAATAAGGAAAATTTTTAAAACAACAATTTATTACAAAATTCTCTGCTTAGCAGTTTCCAGGAAAAAATTATTACAAAACTACAACAAAAAAAAAACTTACAAAACCCCTTTTTTTAAAAAAATTAAGGGTTTTAAGGTTGATCGATTTTTATATAGATTTCGAAACTGCAAACAAAAATTAAACAAAAATATAAACGTGAGTGTAAATTTCAATTGTTTTGATTTTATTCTATGATTTCTTTTATTTTATTTTAGTTTTTGTTGTAAATCTAAGCAAATGACCTAATTAATTTTATTTATTTTTTTTTATATTTTATTTTACAAATACATAAATCAAATACAATATTAAATGAGTGCTTGAGTGAGAGTATATGAATGTGAGAGTTGTAGTATATATTGTTGTTGTTATTGCTGATTCTAAATATTTTAGTTTTTTTTTGTCTGTAAAATTAAACAGATTGTGAATGAGAAAACAATCAAATTAATAAATCTACCTGCAGTGACACATATTTACAAATGAAAAAAAAAAAAAAAAAAACACAAAATTATTAAAAAAAATAAATAAAAGAAAATTTGGAAAAAAAAAAACAACAATAAATTTTAAGTGGGAATAATTTATCACCAACATGGTTAGAGAGAGAGAAACAGACAAAGTTGTGATGCAATTTTTTTTACCATCCCACTGCAACTAGAGATGCCATATACATGAGCTTAAAATACAGGGGATTCTAGTTTATAGAGGATTGTGTTAGAAGGGAGTTTTAAACAACTATTTGTTGTACAATTTGTGGTTTAAAAATATCCAAAAATAGTTCAAATTTATAAGGAAACTAGAAGATGTTAAACATCCAAAACTTTTTAGACCAACAATTGACTCATAAAAGTTTAACTGAAGTTTATTTTTCCTGGAATTGTTTTATTTATTGCAATAACCTAATACATAAGAACTACATTGCACAGTGGGTCAAAAGCTTATAGGTATACAAAATGTTTTAGAGTTCAAAGCTTAAAGAATGGAGTATATTTTTATAACCTACACCACCATAAAGAGGAGTGTATTAACAAAGTGTAAAAAACTAGCTAAAAGGGTCAAAGGTAATCCCGCTATTCCCAAAAATCCCAAAAATGGTATTTTTTACGAATTTTTCCATAAGGTCCAAAATTATACTTTGGATATAAATAAAGAACACATCAAGGTTTCCAAAACTGCTTACCGTTTTCAGATTCCATCTTTGGGATTTTAGAACATGGAAAACAAAGTTAAAATTTGTGCAAAAATAGTGCAAATTCGAAAGGGCCCTACAAAAATTGAGACTACTCCGCAAACGCGTGTAAAGAGTACTCCAAATATATTTTTGGGAAAACATACTACATTTAACATTGTGATGTCATAGGTGAGGATCACGTAATCCATTAATGCATTACAGCGGAGTAATCCCAAAATTAGTCTCTTGCTAAAATTATGGGAGTATATGATCCGCAACAGGGTCCTATGCAGGCTATGGACCATGTTGTTTTTAAAAATAATAAACCTGATCCATGCCTGCTTTGCATAGGACTACTAAACGGATCATATACTCCTACAATATTTACAGGCGAATAGTTTTTGAATTACGTAAATGGATTATGTACTCCAAAGAGTCCTTTCAGAAAAACATGAAATTATTATATCTCCTTGAAGATAGGGACCACATAATTCGTCCTTGTATTACATCAGAATAATCACAAAACTACTACTCCCTTGCTAAAATGATGAGAGTACATGATCCGCTACAAGGTTCTATATAATGCAGATTATGGACCATGTTGTTTTCAAAAGTAATCATGGTCCATTACATAGGACTACTAAACGGTTCATGTACTCCCTTATCATAGAGACCGAAGTATATTTTTCTAAAGGAATGAGCCCCTTTTTCTATCACATCTGGGATGTGAGATATCGTGTCCTGAAATTTGAAAAAACGCAATTTTTTTACCTTTTAGAAGACAACTTTGTTGTTATATCAAGCTTTTAATGAATATATCTCGAAGAAGAAGGAAGATATGACAGATGTTAAACCTTTATTTTAAAGTTAATAGAATGGGCATATAACATTTAATAAATAAATTTGTCTTGACGCTGTTATAACGTCTTAAAAAGGGGTAAATTTTTCAAATTTCAGGACACGATATCTCAAATCCCACATGTGATGAATAAAATCTGATTTGGATTCAGCACTGCTCAATTCTTTAGAAATGTTTAATTTGTTCTCAGGGTTTCGACCTTCGGCCTGTGTTCTGTTTACAGGGGAGTCGTTTGGGCATTACCTAAATGGATCATGTACTTCCATACTATTTGCAGAGAAATGCCAGATTTATTTCCAAAAACATTTTGATTTTGCCCCACTGTGCATCGTTTCAAAACAAAATCCTCGACTATTTGTCATAAAATCCTAAAAAGTGGGTGGAGTTTTAGAAACCTTGATGATTTTCTTCTTAATTCTTAAAATATTTTACCAGCCGTAATCATAATGTGAACTTTATAAAGAAAATTCCGGTAAATCGAAATTCCCGGATTTGTTTTTCATTAATTATATTTTTTGTTCACTCTTCCTAAGTAAGTTGAAATCAATTTTCTGAAAACTTCAGATATCTTTGGTATCAAAATCTTAAATCATTCTATTAGATATACTTTCGATAATTTTACTGTTTAAAAACGGCAAAATTGGGCAATAGAAATAGAATGTATGGTTGACAGGATTATATGGTTGGCAAGGTTAATTATGGGCCGATCTGGTAGATCGGTTTTGTTAAATTTTATCGTCAGCAATATACATATGAGGGTTGAAGAATAGGCCCCAAAGCGTCTTTAATTTTGTCAGAATATGAACTTTAAGTTTTCACTCAAAAACACACTTTTGATAGAAAATGAAAGTGATCGCAGATTTTCATCCTTTTCGCAATAGCGTTAGGATATAGAGTGATATAGAAGTGTCTTGATATTTTAAAATCCAAGCACGTCTAGTTTTGCAGGAAAATGGGCTTTTTGGATTTCACTCAAAAATAAAGTTTTAGTAGGAAATAAAAGTGATCGAAGATTTTCACTCTTTTTGTCCTAACGCCTCTAGTGATTACTAATCTTAATCTTTTTCGCTTTATGACCAGTAAAAGGACTTTTAATAGTTTTACTTCTGTAACATTTTTATAAGATTTTTGGTTGTTAAAACAGTATTTCGGAGGTTCGTTGAGATCATGGACTGATATGAACCATTTTCAATAGCAAAAAATGGATGTGTAGGCACCGTGCAAAGGATTTTTTTATTTTTCTTATTTTTGGGTCTGAGACTCTATACTAAAAATTACGCTTCAAATTCTTCTTTTTAAACGATTTTAAATTTAGTATATAAATGTATTTTTTGTGGTTTTTCGATTTAAAGCGCACTTCTATAAACCACTTTCTAAAACTGAAGATATTTTTTATATATAATAAAACAGAGGGTACTTTTTTTTAATTAAAAATCTTTCATTTTAACCTCAAACATATAAAATCATTAATTTGCACTCCTCAGTAAAAAAAATATTGCCCCATTTTACAGATGTTTTGTTTTATTTTTTACTAAAAATATAATAAATAGACCCTCAGCAGGCATATTTATGAAAATTAATATTAAAATTGGACACGATGTGTGGTAAATTAAGATTTCTTATATAATTTATATGGACCACAAAACCATTGGATCTAGAGTATATTTTCAAAGAAAGAATTTAAACGCCGATTTATTCCTTAAATAAAGTCAATAAGAAATTTTCTAGGGGTATTTTAATCTGAAGTTGAAATAAGCAGGGAGCTTCTTCTGAAAGTATATCTGTAAATCTTGAACATTTTCATGGGGAACTTTTTCTTTCGAATCCTTATATCCCGATGCCACTTGCCATTAAAATTTTACACCAAATTCTGAAAACTATTAACTTCTTAAAAATTTTATCAGATCTCCCCAAATTCACACACACATACATACCAATATAATTTGCTAGTTTTTTTTATGTATGTCTTTCTGTTGTCTTGTTGTTCTGCTTCCAATTGCGAAATCTTGGCTTTATAAAAATAACCAACCAACTACCAAAGACTAGTATAAATTAAACTGGGTTATTTTATAAGCTTACTTACCTTGTGGGCCGTTTGTTGTTCATTGGTACTCGAAATGTAATAAAAAAAATATAAGAAAAAAATTCGAAAAAAAAACATATATTTTTGTTGAAACACACACACAATGAAACCGAAACAGAAAGCTTTTTAATGATTTCATTTGCTGCAGGTGGCTGTTGTTGTCTGCATGGTTGGCTAAATAACTAACTAAATGACAGGGTGACTGACTGACTGACTGCCTAAGTGACTTACTAACTTATGCCAGTAGTTGTAGTTTCATTCTACTTTTAGTGATTTCTTAGTTTTCTATGTTTTTTTGTAGTTGTTTTCCATTTTTCTAGCTTTTCTTAAGATACGTTCTCGTGTTTTCCAAAGTTTCGTTTATTTATCTAAAAGAAGAAAAGCTAAAAAAGTATAAAAATTTACACCAAAATAAGAAAAACAAAGTTGTTTTAAGTCTAACACAATAAGTGTTAACTTAATGTGTTTGTTTCTCTGTGTCTTTAAGTGGGGGAGAGAAAGGGGGTCTTTTATAAAAAAAAAACTTAAATTGTGACACCAAAAACTACTAATAAGGAAGGTTACCCATAACCAACAAGTGGAGTTATTGCAAGAATTGTTTACGGTTGCCAAATCTTTTGTTTGGCAACTTTTGTTGCTAAGCTGTTGTTTGTTAAAAGTTGGCTATAACTGTTTACTATAGATATTTTCTAAGCATTTCTTGTGGCAACTTGTTTTCAGAGTTTATGTTGCTGTTATAGGTTTTAAGAAGAGTGTTGTACAATGATATTTTAAGAACAATTCTGAAGCAACATGTTTAAAGTAATAATGATTTTGCAACAAAGTTTTATTTAAATAAATATGTTGCAGCAATAAAGAATTTTTAACATGTTGCCGCAACAATGTTTAGCGAAAAAATTTTCAAGAGAATTTTTATTATTTAAAAGATGGACTAGAACCACTGTGGATTAATCTATTGGCTTGTCTATGGACTATTCTCGACTAATCTATTAACTGGTCGTCTGATTAGTCTATTGTTAGTTTATTGACTAGTTCATATACAAATCCAT